CTCAATTTTGGTCTTCCTCTTTGTCTCTTTCCCTGGGCTAGTTCTCCATAGAGAAGTTGCTTTGGGATCCGGTTGTCGTCCATTCTCTTAACATGGCCAAGCCATCTCAATCTTTTTAAACACATGATAGTTGTCATGCTCTGGAGGTTTGCCCGTGCCAATACTTCAACATTTGTAACCTTGTCACGCCACGAAATGCTTAAGATCTTGTGGCAGCATCTGAGATGGAAAATGTCGAAGCGCTTTTCTTGTCTGCTGTACAAGGTCCATGTTTCAGATCCATAAAGGAGTGTGCTGAGGACACATGCTTCGTGAATCTTGATCTTTGTTTTGATGGTTAATCTTTTGTTTTCCCATGCTCGTTTTGTCAGCCTTCCAAAAGTTGTTGCTGCTTTCCCTATCCTGATATTGATCTCATAATCAAGTGATGTTGTAGAGCTGATGGTAGACCCCAGGTAACAAAACTTGTCCACTGTCTTAAGTTCCTTGTCGTTCAGCCATATATGGCTCTGCTCTGCACCTTCTTGGGTAAGGATGACTGCTTTCTTAACACTGATGACCAAGCTAGTGACCTTGCATGCTGTTGAAAGGCGGTCCATCATTGTTTGTAGGGTTGATTCACTGTGAGCAACAAGAGCAGCATCGTCGTCGAAGAGAAGGTCTCGTACTGTTGTTTTGTTGATCCTGGTCTCGGCCTTGAGTCGAGCAAGATTGAAGAGCGACCCATCAGTTTTGCAGTGGAGGAAGAAATCCCCTGGTGACTCTTTGAATGCGTATTGCAGTAAGACAGCAAAATAAGTGCTAAAAAGGGTTGGTGCTAAGCCACAACCTTGCTTTACTCCGCTTTTGATGTTGAAACTGTTTGATGTTGAACCGTCAAACTGAATGGTGGCTTTCATATCTTCGTGGAATGAGATGATGAGCTGTAGCAGTATTGGGGGACAGTCAATTTTTCCAAGCACCATGTACAGTCCTGATCTACTCACTGTATCAAAAGCCTTTGTCAGATCGACGAACGCAGTATGTAATGGCAGTCGTTGCTCCCTGCATTTTTCTTGTAGCTGACGAATAGAGAAGATCATGTCCACTGTTGAGTGATTTGATCTGAAACCGCATTGGCTCTCTGGTAGGACTCTTTCTGCTAGTTTCTGAAGTCGCTTCAGGATGATCCAAGCGAAAGATTTTCCAGTGATGCTTGGCAGTGAGATACCTCTGTAGTTGTTGCAATCTCCTTTGTCCCCTTTGTTTTTGTAGAGTGTGGTGATTTTGGCATCTCTCATGTCATGTGGAATTTCTGCTTTCAACCAACAAGTCGTTTGTAGCTTGTAGAGATATGGGAGGAGGGTCTCTTTGTTCTCTTTCAGCACTTCAGCAGGTATGTTGTCGTTTCCTGCTGCTTTTCTGCAAGCGAGTTCATCGATTGCAGAGGAGATTTCTTCTTCTGTTGGTGTTATATCAAGTTCTGACATTTCGAAGAGCTGAGGAATGGCCTCATGTAGCTGTCTATCAACATGTCGCTTCTCTGAATATAAGTCTGAATAATGTTCCACCCATCTTTCCATTTGTTTCTTCTTGTCTGTCAGCTGTTCACCTGTCGCAGACTTTAGAGGTACCACTTTGTTTGCTGTTGGTCCAATAGCAACTCTGATGTTTTCATACATTTTCCTGATATTACCTGTATCGATGGCCTGTTGAATTTCTGAGCATAACTTGTCCCAGTACTGATTGGCACACTTTCAGGTTTCTCTCTGAAGGTTGGATTTAGCAGCACTAGCTGTTGCCTTGTACTCTCTGTTGGGTTTTTTTGTTGTGTTCTATCAGAATCTTACGCTTTTTCTCAAGTAGCTTCGTCTTCTACGTTTTTGGTCTCAGGTGACAGCTTATTATACTCCCTGGTAATATCATACTTGATTTCTTTCTCGATGTCTGGTTCTTCCAATTTTCTTAGGTTAGTCGAGGTTTTTTCTGTTCTTCTGTGTTTGCTTTACGTGACATTGCTGGTTGTAAGAGTAAGTATCACATGTGTGTGGTCGGTGTCAATGATATGGTTTGGTACTGCTCTCGAATCTTCGGCTGTTTGTCTTTGTTTTCTGCGCATCAGGATGAAATCAATTTTGTGATGCATTGTTCAGGTCATTCCACCTGTACCATGTCTTGATTTGGTTTAGTCTGAGTAGGAAAAATGTATTCGTAATCATCATGTCGCGCTCAGCGCATAGGTTTAGTATCATTTCTCCACTGCTGTTGCAGTCTATATCTTTATCACTGTGGGGTCCTAGGTACTCTTTCCAGGGTTTTTTTCTTTGTCCAACTCTACCATTTAAATCTCCAAAGATAAATATATCTTCTTTGTTCTTGATGGTGTTAATGGGTTCACTCAGGTCCTGAAAATATTATTGTCTATTTTCCTCTGTAAAGCTGTCGTTACAAGGAGAGTATGTTTGGATCATGTACGTTGTTGTTTTGTCACCCTCTATGACTTTCGGCTAGAGTTGTTTTTCTTAAACTTCTTGAAACACGCCCCCATCCCACCCTCTTTCCCCTTCAAACCAATCGACCTCCAGCATCCGTCAATTCTCTCTCACTCTCTCTCTCTCTCTCTCTCTCTCTCTCTCTCTCTCTCTCTCTCTCTCTCCAAATGTCTTGTTGTTTTTTTAAATAGAGCTTATTTTCTATCGGCAAAGGTACTTTGAAAAATATTATCTTTTTATAGTAAATACAGTTAGATCTAACCATAAACATAATATTTAATATTGCTGACATTAAATTTTACAACCTTTGACATAGTTAAGAGTCGGAACAAAACAGTCACTTTCTAGTTTGTTGTTTCGATAGTAATATTTACAAAGACAAAAACTCAAGCTTTCAGGCTTTGCATAACAAACTGTGGCAGCACTCACTTGGTAAACGCCGCCATGTTTCAAAAGAACTAACGTCCGAATGATGTCAGAGTTGTGGGCAGGGCTTGCTACACCCTGCTGAAATACAGTTTCCACTGCATCCATCTGGGGATTGTAAAGTCCGAGAGCACATATTATAATTCTAATACTACTAATACTACTGATAATGCTAATACTAATAATACTACTACTACCGATAATAATGCTGACGGTAATGATAATAATAATAATAATAATAATGATAATAATAATAATAATAATAGTAATAATAATAATAATAATAATAATTAACATAATAATAAGGATAATGATAATAATAATAATGATAATAATAATGATAATAATAATGATAATAATAATGAAAGTAGTAGTAGTAGTAGTAGTAGTAGTAGTAGTAGTAGTAGTAGTAGTAGTAGTAATAATAGTAGTAGTAGTAGTAGTAGTAGTAGCACATATCCCCACTCCACAGCAAGCTTTATGCTCTTTTTCACAGTATGGCTCTGTTCGTCATAATAATGTAATGTTTTAGCAATGGAGTGAAAACAGGCCCATAATAAAGGGAGAAAAAACCCAATGCTATGGGGTGGGGATGGTGTAGAGGTTGAAAAGGGGGGAAAAGTGTGTGTGTTTGGGGGGGGGGGCAATAATTTTGAGGTTTTTGCATGTTTAAGTTACAGTGAAAAGAAGTTTGGTCTTGCTTTATGGTCATATCGTGCAGAGCGTCCGGTTTGCAAAGAGAAGTTTGGAGTAAAATAAATCTTGGGACGTGTTGGAAAAGCGTGACAGGGAAAAGCAATTAATGGGAGAAGAGAATACAATGTATTGTGTGGAGGATTACGTGAGATGTCTGTTGTCCATTAAAAAGGGTGTTGGACAGCTCCTCGGTTTGAAGAACGATAATTGGGTAACTGAGCCTAAAGACAAATCCACAAGTAAGTCTAGACAGACAGAAAGACAGACAGACAGACAGACAGACAGACAGACAGACAGACGGGGGGGGGGGGAGTGGGCGGATGGGCAGACGGGATGGATAGATAGATAGATAGATAGATAGATAGATAGATAGATAGATAGATAGATAGATAGATAGATAGATAGATACATACATACATACATACATACATACATACGTACATACATACATACATACATAGATAGATAGATAGATAGATAGATAGATAGATAGATAGATAGATAGATAGATAGATAGATAGATAGATAGATAGATAGATAGATAGATAGATAGATAGATAGATAGATAGATAGATAGATAGATAGATAGATAGATAGATAAATAGATAATGGAAAATGAAAATGATTATTGAAGAGAAAAGTTATTGGAGTTGTTAAGAATTTTTTAATTTAATTTCTTCTTGTATTCAAGATTATTGTTTCTACATTATTTTAAAAAAATAGTATTAGCAAATCATCTTGAAAACTATAGCTAAAAGCAATTTGAAAAGTTAATGGAACGCGGCCAGCAAACTCGGTGCTCAAGGGCAAATTTGGGTAATATAAGACCTGATCACATAAAGAGCATTAAAATTAATTATTCTGAAGCAGGTACCACTTTTTATAGGCACTACAACCCATCAAGTCTTAATAAATCTGACATGCAATCAAACAGACGTTTCAATTTCCCTTTTGTTTATTATGTTTTCTTTAATGTTTTTGCTTGCTTGTTTTTGATAGCTGTATTTAGTGTTACATTTTGATTCCTCACCTCAACAAAAGTCACATTTTCATCCTTTAGCCGATCCCACCATTCTCCAGACGGATGGATATTTCCATGCACATACACTCGTTCGAAGCCCCCAACGTACAGCGCTGACAGAACACTCATATAGGCGTTGAAAGGCCAGGACATAGTCTTCATATCAGCATATGGTCTCAAACATACCATATGGCTTATTAGGGGAATTAAGTCATCGTCTTCATCAGGTCCTGAGCTCGGTTCTATTCTGACCTGTCGCCCGTAGTAAAGCCACCGAGCAAAACGGGAAAAATGGGATGTCGCATTGATGATGTCTTTCGGGTATACAGGTTTTGTTAATACCGCACACACGGGAAGAAGTTTAGAGGGTGAATTGGGAAATGAAAACAACGATTTATTTTCAAACTCGTCCTCTGTGATGCACATGAATGCATTTTTCAGAATGTGGCTTGTAAAGTTAGCAACATCGAGGGTTTTCATTCCTCCATGTCTACTTCCGATTATCCCGTGTTGATGATTTTGTATTTTAGGCGAATTTCCAAAATACGCCATGGAATCGACAGATGACAGCCAATTGCGGGGAATGTGAGTGAGGAGTGTTTTCTCCCCAATATAAATCCCACCATCTGGCTGAGTTCCTACCTGCTCCAAACCGAATCTGACGGCGTCAAATGTCCCACATTCAAGTTTTCTCTCTGTCTTTCGCAGCACTAAGTTAGGCAGTGATTGTCTCAGTTCCTGAAACCACAGGTTGTAATAAAACAGGTCCACGACTGGGAGATAGTTGTAATGAAAGACCAACTTCTGTGGCTCCAAAACGCGCACAATGCTGAGCACACTGAGATAATCGGTGAAAGTGAACGTCTTTTTCCCACACCACACAACATGAGCCGTACCTGGGAGCTGTCCTAATGGATAAGAGTTACTTCCAAAAAACAACGAACCTGAGCTTAAATCTCTGTCGCCAACAAGCTTCTTATTGTTTTGAGTTTCGACGTCAAATAAATCTCGAAATAAATGGACGTTGTCCACTGGTTGTTGTTGAACACAAACCTGCTGCGCCTCATTCGGGTTTTTAACCACTATTTCTTCAGTACGCGTAATGTTCAAGAACAAATCCCGAATGACGTTTGTGTCGAGCGCGCACTCCAGGTGTACTACAGAAGTATCTTTGCCAGTCACTTTCGATGACGATGGCGTGTACATAAAAATAAAGACGTTGACAAGAAACATAGACAAAAAAGCGAGGAAAAAAACAGGGTTCCAAATACGTCTCATGGTCGTGAACAGAGCCCTTACGAAACGAGGACAGAATATAGTGGCCGAAGAGAACGCGAAGCCAGAGTCGAGGAAGATACGACGCTTTCAATATTTGAGGGAAATTAAAATTTATTGACTGGCCGTCAAGATAGCGGGTGACCTCGTGTTTTCTGTTAAGAAA